AACTTCGAAGCAATTGAATAGCTGGTGACCAAGAGCAGCCATCCTGGGGTACTTCAATACCCCGATTTCAGAATCTGCTAGAAACGCTGTCTCTACATGAGAATGGCAAGCGGAGCTTTTATCCCAGATTTTCAGATTGTAGATTTCAGCTTCAGTAGAATGGTCTTTTCTCAGACCTGCAGAAGAGAAGGATTATATCCCCCCTGCTTTGCCTGTTGGGGCCCCAAAACTTGTCTTCTCCTGCAGATGCTATCTGCATTTAGAAGAGAAAAAGGAACTGTACCTTAGATGTGAAACACATTTATAGCATCACTTCTTGCTTGTAAGAATCCCGAGGTGTGCGACAGCTCTCCTTATATCCTAGCTGAAATTACACACTATAAATATTAAAATAGATATTACTGTAGCAATTACTGTCACTTGTTAGTGAGCTGATTACTGTCAGGGCCAGATGATGTTTTGCTCAACAAGCCATCTTAACGGAGGAGGCTTTTCTGAAGGAGTATTTTATCCACAGGGCAAGTTCTGAAAGATCAGTGATCTTCCACAGAGATGCAGAAATTTAAATTTTGAGCAAAGAAAAACAGAGATGGCCTTTTTTAAAGGCAATTCTTAGCATCAGTTCTCCTCTAGAATCCCACACGGAGAGTCCTTCCCCAGTCTGGTGTCCTGCAGATGGCTTGTGTGATACATTCCTGGCTGCAGTCCATGCTAGCTGGGGATGATGGGAATTCACATCCATCACATCTGACAGGTACCAGGTCAGGGAAAGCGGTACTGCACGTCCAAGCTGATGCTCCCTATAAACACTCCCACATTTGGGTAGAGACTCTGGGTGCTAGTCCCCCGGCAGACGGGACACACACCCCTGGCCCAGGGCAGAGGTCATAAGAGCTGTTCAAGAAGAAAAGTTACAGGGCAGGGCAGCTGGCGTCCAGGCACCCCTGTGCTTTAGAACACAACACACCCAGCCCACAGTCCCCGAGCAAGGGCTGCAAATGGAGGAGGGTGCCTGAAAATGCTGGGGGGGGGGGCACGAGGACACACACCTGGTGGTTCCAGTCCTTCCAGAAATCAAAAGATGCTGTAGTCCAGCCTTTGCCCTGGTCATGTGGGCTCTCACTGTTTGTAGTTTCCTCCTGCCCCGAAAAGCACCAAGCAGCCCTCCAAAGGAAGAGCTGCTTGGGGCAACACTGCGCTAGCTCACTGCCCCCGAGTCTAATCCAGCCCCGGGCGATCCGCTGTGATCACTCAGCATGTGCCTGAGCACCACGTCGGGCTCCAGACCTCAGTCGCCAAATGTTCAACTAACATCCCCCAGCCCAGTCTTTTACAGCCCTACTGGCCAGGGATGACGGGACATGTGGTCAAGCACACCTACCAAGTCAGGAAAGCTGATGGCCCACACTGTGGGGCCATCCCTAGCCACAGCCCCCATCACCGCCTGCCAACTTGCTGACTGGGGATGATGGGGAGTGTAATCCAGCCCTGCTGGGTTGGGAAGGCAGGGGTGGCCAATACTGGAGACACCAGAAACTGCCTTCTACAAAGCCATGCCCCAGGTCCATCTAGACCAGCCCTGCCTGGCAGAAATGGCTTCCTGCGGTTGGCGGCAGTCTTTCCACCAGGACTAAACCTTTGAGCTTCCTCTTGCAAGGCAAGGTTCCACCACCACGGATAATCCTACTGATCACTTCGGCTAAGCGGACCGACGGGCTGCTGCGGCGTGCCAGCCCCGTGAGCACCATGCTTTCATGCGCACCCTTGAAAGGCGACTGACCACAGAACTGCCCATTTGCCCTGAACATTGCATGGTGCGCTACATGTGTGATTTGACTGCCTGGAATGGGATCACAGCCTTGAGCACGGCCCCCCATAAGAAGTCACATGCATCTAAAGTACCAGTCCATGGTAGGGGATTATGAAGTTCATGCAGCAAGAGCAAAGCCAAGGCAAGAGAGTGAATGCAAACATATCAAGAGCTGCTCCAGCACAGAAAACTAGAATATTTTGGGAAGGAGAGAAAGGAAGGATTTAAAAAATGGCCCCAGCTGGTCACGGAGGTGAAACAAACAGGAAAAGGGGAAGTCTCGGCTGGACCACCTTAAAGATGGATCAGCGACAACACAGCACAATTGCTTGGGGTGAAGCTTGCTCTGGCAAGAAGGGAATTAGGAGTCCTTCTATGCCATCCCGCACAGGGGCCGGCCCCAGCTCCGCCATACTTCCCCATGCCCCTCACATCTGTCTCTTTGCCCCCTGATCTTGCAACCAAACAGGGCTGCTCTTACCCAGCAAGCCCCTGCAGTAAAACCTCAAACATGGGGTTTACCAAGTCTCCCAGAGCTCTCCAGATGCTTCAGACTAGCCCTGCCCTTACCCTTCACGCCAGCAGGTGCCACAGCCTGAAACTCACAAGGGGCCAGGTGAGCCTAGCCTCGCAACACCTGAGCAGGTAGACATGTTCCTTGCGGCCTGGCCCAGCCGCTCCACCAGCCAGCAATTCCGTGGGCCAGGTTGCTGTTCTGCTCCCGCAGGCCACGAGCCACACTCACACACACACCTGGCTTCCCCAAGCAATAAGGCGGCCATCATTCCCCAAGTGGGGGGGGGGCAGCCTGAAGTGGAGAGGCCCCAGCTGAGCCAAAGAGCACCTGCCAGGCCTGCAAAGGCTCCAGGACAAACTATCTGAGCAGGACGGGGCGGGGGTCTTTTTTGGAGCAGAGTAAATCCGTCGTTATTTGTTTTTTGGCGCCAGGCTAAGACCTTTTAATTTAAAACTTATTTTAATTGTTAAATTATTGAATTAATTAGGATTTTAAAATTTTTAGCCGAGAATGCACCAGCGGTTTTTAAAAAAAAAATTTAATTGCTATATTATTATTATTTATGTATGTTTTTATGTATTCTTTGTGAGCAGCCCCGAGGCTTTGTTGCGATGGGAGCGGCATAGAAAGGTTTTAAATAAATAAATAAATAAATAATGCTGGGTGAGCCGCATCGACAGCCCGAGTCAATTCACTGCCCAATGCAGTGAACAGGTGCATGTGCTTCCGTCATCTAGGTGTGCTCTCAGAAAAACTGCCTCCTTGATGACCGCCCCCCCCCCCGGACCTTCCCCAGTTGTTCAAGTGCCTCCCACCCCAAATTAAACATGCTCCTCAGCAGCTTTCCCATGTCACACTGCTGCCCTCCAGGTCTGCTGGGCTAGAGGTCCTACCACCCTCACTGGATCACCATGGCAATGGGAATGATGGGAGTCACAGTCCAGCACCCTTCACACTTTCTTGGCCCAGCATGACCATCAGGGCAATGGGAGGAGTCAACCAACACTTCTCCCTCCAACCAGGCGCCCCCTAGATGTGCTGGCTCACAAATTCCATCAGATCCCCAGTGCAGCGGGCTGAGGGGAGCTGTGGTCTAACGCATCTTGGGGAATGAGCCAAATGTCACCCGTAGCCCCCAGCAGCCTCTATGCCCCCAGCAGCTGAGCACACCCCACTTTCCACTGGGAACGACTCCCCAGAGACCCCGGGGGCTGCCCCATGCTATTTGCACTCCCCGTGTTCCCCAGCCGAGCCCTGCTCCAAACATGGCCCTGTTCACAGCCCCACTGCAAAGTGCCTCTTCGGCTCACGCCCCCAGGGGGCGGCACTGTGAAGCTGAGTCCTGGCCCAGACTCTGTTTCAGGGGAGGGGTTTTGGCTGCAGCTGGGGAGGGAAGGCCTGTCCCTCCACTTCTAACACGCTACAACATGCGCAAACTCTCCCCCACCCCATATTTTTGCAGGACATTTCAGCAAGGAGGGGGAGTTGCTTTGCTTCCCCTAAGCTTCAGGACATTACAGGTCAGGCTGCAAATTAACTGAAGAATGCATATATTTGGATGGAAAAATTAATTGCCTGGCTTGGCGTCCTACATAGTTTAAATAAATCCTTTAATACAATATAAATTAGCTCACGCAGATGGGGCTGGGAAGCCAATCTTTTTGCTTCCAGGCAGTCCCCAACTTCCAGCTAGATCTGAATCCACGCACCCTTCTCTCTTCTTTATCAACAACTCCAGCCCACATGGATTTACTTGCCCAACACCGCCATGACCTCCCGCTGAACCCCCATTTTTAGCCTCGAGTGTCATGAACTCCAGGTGCCTCTCCAATCAAACTGCCCCACCCTAGAAAGAGGCACAAGGAAACCTTTGGCATCAATAGCTGCAAGCACCAGGCAGGGAAAACTGCTTGCGGCGGGGGGGGGGGGGGGGGGGGGCTCGCCCAGAAGCTAGAGGCTGCCTTGATGAAAGCAGGATGCTGGGCTAGAGAAACCTGCAGGAGGGGAAGCCAAACTCACAGGAGAGCATGATTTGATGCACCGTCCAAGACAGGAGCCTGCAATCCTATGCCGGTTTGCATGGGGAAACGATCCTAGCATCCTATACATGTTCTGACAGAAAACGTCTCTAAACAGCCTGGACTGAGGAACGCAGAACTGCAGGGCTTCTGCTGTCTAAACGAGCCAGGTCTTGCCTTGAAGGGCAGAGGGGCTGAGCGGGAGCAGCGAACACAGAAGCTCCCGGTGCATGTGCCCAGGTCCAGGTGTGCTGCAGCTTCGGCCTCTGGCACCCCCTGGCCAGCATGCTAGGAACTGTAGTCCCCCACACCTGAAAGGCACGAGGCAGGAGAAAGCCAAGCCTAGGGTGCTGCGCCCCACGCGGACTCTTTGCCCACAGGAGGCTGCGGACGCTGGGAGCTATAGTCCCACACAACTGGAAGGAACCAGGCGGGGGAAGCCCTGGCTGAGGCCAGCGCCCCCCGCCCAGAAGTTGCCCTTCCCCGCAGGTGGCCGCTGAGCGCGCAGCGCCGCGCACCTGGCAGCGCCGCGGGGGACGCGCCTCCCCGACGCGCGCCTCGCCCAGGCGCCCGCGGGACACCGAAGCCTCGGGGGCGCCCGACGAACGGCCCGGCCCCCCGCCCCCGTCGGTGCCCTTCCGTGCAATGGACTCACCGTTGGCGCCGTACCTCTGCCGGTTCCGGCGGACCTGCTCGGCGCTCAGCCCGCAGCTCTCGCGCACGCCGAAGCGCCGCAGCGCCTCCTCGGCCGTCGAGCTGTGCGCGCTCTCCATGCCGGCTCCCGCTCGCGCCCGCGCCGCCGAGGGAAGCGGTAGCGCCGGCCGGCCGGCCGGCCGC